CACGTATTAAACTGCAGATGTGAAATCACATCGGATTCTCTTACTAATGACGGTAAGCCACTGTCTCAATACTATACCATCCGTGACCTAGGGATACACTACTCAAACTCCTAAACTTGGCTCAGCATGACGGAGGTAGTGCAGTTCAAACCCATCGGATCATCTGGCTTCTGCTCAAAACATCTACTCTAAAAGAATCAAGTAAAATAAACTACAAAATACAAACACGTCTCTTACTAGATCATGGCTCAATAAAAAAGATTATGGCATCATAATCTATTGTAATTCCAGAGTGAGTGATCATATGGCATCAGAGCGAGTGCAACGGTCATTTACCAAATCTCTGTTGGGCTATTCCTCTACGTTAACATATATGAATCCATTATGGACCCATAATGGCTACGCCGGATGTAACTTAACCTTGCGGAGATGTTTTCATACTTTTATCAGAAGATGCTTTTATCGATTCCAGTACTGCAACTAAGAGAACCGGTAATGTATCGCCGTAGAAACAACAAGAAAGTATTAGTGAAAAGATTGAGAACTAGGTAGTTGGACAACTATTTCCTTAACTAACACTTCGCAGTATGGAACACCCTTTCATGTGAGATACGTGAACTTCAGTCAGGGATAAATTTTCGAAAGTCATCACATTCATTTCTCAGCGTTGAAATAGCCATTAGTATGCTGAGACCAAATATGACAAACGACTGTCCTTATGAAACTGAAGCGAGATTGAGAAATGCCTGTTTCATATTCTTCGCCCGCCCCCATTCATTCAGCCGCCGTTAACTGGGGAATTAAGTTACTTCTTTAAGCAACAGGAAATTTTCCACCTAACGTTATATCTGAGCGCACCAAGGAAAAACTTGTCGCAGATTTTTTCCATTTTATTTCTGTACATTTGATCTACACTGCTAATTATCTTCTATTCACTCCAGGTCACACGCGATTGGCACGCCACAGTTTTCCGGAATGTGCAAAACTCACTTAGATTACAATTTCTATTCATTTCGATGGGTTGCACGCGATGGAAAAACCTGAAGATCCTTCAGGAGATTCAGTTTTCATAAAAACCACAAACTCACTGTTGAAAACAAAGGTTTACTTATTTATTTGCCTGTCCACTTCGATTGATTTCACAAACGGACACAGACAACAGCCAGATCATATCACATTCTAGGGAATAATATAACATTTACCCATGTTAGTTTTTATTCTATTCCATGATCTTACTTTTCTTTCCATGGTTGGTCACGACTGGGCCAATCTCCTGTAGTGATGGATTGAAGCTTACAAGAAAAATACTTATACCCATACAGGGAGAATTGTCACAAATCACTGGCGAGCAATAAGTTGCTGGATCAAAAAACGAGTCTACATGTTAACAACCTATTACCTATAAAAAGCGGCCACAAAAAAGAATCTTCATGATGACAATAGGGGCCAAAAAACCCAGTCAACATAATGACGGCTCATTTGCCTGTATTCTGCATTAGCACATGACCAGATGAGGCGTGAAGTGCGGATGAAAGCTTTCGAGGGACTACCTCACATGGAAGCAGGTCCACAGTAGACGGTTATATGGATGGTCGTATTACTTTACTCAAACAGCTTGCTATGCCTACAATGAGCCCTACGCTCTAATTTGCATTTTTATTACTTGGAAATAATTGAAAATCGGAAAACTTCTCTGGGATCTACAATGTGAAAGTCCAAAGTGCGTCGTTTGCGCGCTGGGACTGTGTATGGAAGAAGAGGAAAGGGAGCCAAGCGATGACTTAGTCCCTCACTTTGGACTTGGCGTCGGTTGGTGTCTCCCAACTGTCGGGCTGCGGTCCGAAAGACGAGTAACACATCTGGTTGGATACACTAATTGACATGACAAGGAGCATACCTGTGGCGTTTGTGTAATGAGTTTCTTTGCCCCACCCCACCCCGGTTTGCTCCGCCCTCCAAGCACGATCCCACTTTCGAAGCATAATGTGTTAATAAGCAGTGTGTTGCCCATTTTGTTTGCATCCTATAATGTTTAGTATCTTACTTGTTCGTATGTTCTAGCTTTATGTATTGCGGCACAATAGTTAAAATGTGTTTCTCACATTCAGCTAATGTGTAATGATGGTTATTATTATTATGACACTGTGATCGGACTAGCCACTTCGCTTCACACTATCAGCTATGATTATCGGCTGTCAGTTGAAAGGCTGTACAATTTGTTCGACACTATTCACGTGTATCGTGATACAGCGGATAGCTGGCCTAGTAGATAATGAAGCTGGCTTCGGCGCCCAAAAGGGGGAGTAATGATCACACTCTTTGCTTACGCCAAGCGTTGGAATGTCGTCATAACCGCAAGCAACCAATCATAATGAAGTTGCTGTGCTTGTAGACTGCTACTGGTTCCCTTGATTGTGCCTGGTTTTAATGATGTCCAACCGTGGAGGGTACCCAGTAATGAAATTACTTCACACCATAATCTCCAACTGCGAATCCCAATGAAGTGCGAGAAGCTAAAAAATAGTGTGCTCCGAGCCCACATGGCAAGTTTGATGTTTACTTTTATCTGAAGAGAATAACAGGGTGCCTGTCGAACTCAAGCCGCTTACACCGATGAAAGTGCAGTGGAGTACATCATCAGTATCTGTCGGCTTGCGACATATGGTCGTCTTTAAGTTCCCCTTATTCCTGTGAACAAGCCAGTCAAGAAATGGTATTGTAACGCCACAAGATTCTAACTTAGTGGTAAAATGTATCCTCTCGTCAATGGGGTTTAAATGATCAAGTAACTCATCATTCTGATCCTCTTTTAACAATTACAAAGTTTCGGTGATCTAGTGGTGTTTGTTAAAGCCCTGTTCTCGAAGTTTTCCATATCCAAGTTCGGCAGTACAGAGGATATTGGCGATGCCATGGTGAGGTCGAGTTTCTAACTGTGCAGCTTCGACTGAAAACGATGTACGAGATGTTAAGACATATTGTAATGCCCTCAACTATCTGGTTAAATGGAAGTTCCGTCCGTCTTTTGGATACATTGGTGACAAATGAGGTCACATCGAAGCATCAACTCATCCGACTTGGTGGTGAGACTTGTTATCGTTCGGGTGCACTCATAAAAGTTCTTCACGAATGTACTCGTTTGCCCTGTCTGAAGTTGCAATAGCCCTGTCAAATATTCAGCCAGTTCATGGGTCGGCGAGCCTATATTGTCGACTATGGGCCGTACGGGAATGTCAGGACTGTGAATCTTTGACAGATCATTAACTCAAGGTAGAGTGAATTTCGGGTGTGGACTGTACCGCTTGCCAACTCCTAGATCCTACTTCACGGTACGTAAATGGTTACCAGCCTCCGTCTTACTCATTACTGTCACCACGGTGTTAGCATCAAGTACTCTTAGTGGACTCGTCGCCAAAAGTTGCTCCATTCTATCCAAAGATTCTAACTTATTCATTAAAACCAGTCTGACGACCTTGGATGCGCGTACCAGACTAGAAAGTGAAACTCCACTCCCAATTGCCTATCTGTCAATGCCATGAGGTACGAAAGAACATCTGGAGTATTCCCACTGTGCCTGAACCGCTTGAGGTGACATCCCGCACGATCACTGTAATAACATCTTGGCTCATGCTTGCTAGCGCGATTATCGTCTCTGTTCGCTAGAAACTGCCCCTCCAATGGCATACTGATCCATCTGGCTTGATGAAGCATTTGTGTCAAAAGCGAAATGTTGTCCAACAATTGCACCAACCGATTTTCTACAAGCCTCTTTTAAATAATGACTTCACGATCGGTTCCAACACCGCAAACCTAGTTGGGCGAGCCCTCAAAGTAGCCAATCGGGGAATTGGTAAAAGAGCATCAGCCAACCTGTAAAACGCTCATCCGCGATGGCGAGTGTGGTTTTGCAGATGGGAGTCTCGAGACAGTCTATATCAATAGTTAGCTAAGCTAAAGGGTATGGCTCAGTCATGGAACAAGCGGAGCTATTGAGTGTAACGATAATAACTTATGGCTTGTTCCCATCGATTTACCAACATTGGCATTATTAGTGCTATTGTCAGTAGTAATGGAACTGGAATTATCGCATTTCTATGTGAGAATCATAGTGAAGTGAGCTGCTTTAGTGCAATCTGGTCCCTCCGTCTTGCATAAATGATTTTCATACTAAGCGATGAAGCTATCAGAGAATCATTTGGAGGACTGATTAAGCAGAAACACGTGTGCGATATGGACGACTTCCAATAGTCGCATCATGTAGCAGCCAATTTAAGTGAAAATAGCCGAAGAATTTCTGCTGCTCGTATGCCAAATTGCAATGAGGTAAGGTGTTTCTGAATTACCTGCCAACATGTCAACAATATTAGGGAGAAAAACATTTAGTGCAGTTATCCAGCTGCCTGCGTGCACAAAAGGTGAGCATACGCAAAACTGATGAGATTTCTTTAAACGGCCTGAAGGTTAAATTGAAGGCTCCAATCTGGTTGCACTCTTGGCGACAGGACTGGGTTTAAGTTAGCTTCATAAATTGCAATTTTACGACGACAACTGGGAATGTGCTACTATGCAACAATGAAACCTTGCTCGTTTGGTAAGAAAACGGATGGGGTTATATTTTTATTCATGATCACATACGAACTCGGAGGCGAAATTCAGCAGAGTGAGAAGTAAACAGAACAGCAACGTGAAAAAATGTAGTATAGTTGAAACGAAGTCAAAAGCAGGCTCACTGACACCAAGGTACCTCCACACAGTGGTTGGATGCGTACAGCCACAGACTGATCCTGAGGCGCATACATCTTAGATACAAATAACTGCATGATGGTTTCAGATCAACACTGCATCCACACATGTCCTCAGCCCCTCCACAAAGTGTAATCCCAAAATCATACATTGTGAGTAACCCCACGCTCAAGTACAAAACGTGTATCCGGAAAAGGGGGGACATAGAGGTGAAGTAAAACAGCAGAAATGCAGGAATGATAACCTAAATGGCTTACCTCGAAACGACAATCATCGTACTCGTGTGCCTTTACGAACGCACTGCGGATACGAACTGACCCCCGAGAACCAAGGTTGACTTCGTCCGCATTTCGAAAATACACTAAGGTACCATCTGACAAAACGAAATAGCGCTCCTGCCATCCATGCAGAAGATTAGTCCATTTGCTTAGCACTCCACGAACTGGCATTGGAGCCCAAGCTTCCTCATCTGAAGCATCTTCATCAGAAGAGCTACCAGCCAAAAGGTTGTCATCGCTTGACTTAAGACCCCCTGATTTAAGCGATCCTGGTGAGGCAGACGGGCTGGCAGGCACAGCACCTCCAGGAAGAGCGGAGATGACTGAAACAGCCAATGACATAGCGAACTGAAGAGGAATGGACGAAACAGTCGTATCAGGAAACCAAATGGATGGAAGAATGTGCCAAGTAAATGTGTGAAAGTGAAGTCACTTCAGATGTTTCAAAAAATTGTGACGTGGAGAGCGACACACCATAAAAGTCATGGAAATTAAATTTAAAGTCTAACAGTCAAGTGGTGAGATGTTCGGAATTAGCGGTTTAATAAGAAGATTTCAGGAACGATGACGAGAACCTTATGTGCAAGCACTATACCGAAAAAATGAAGTTCCTCGCTAAAATGATGGTTACACCGTAGCAGTTACAACGGCCACTTTAACTGTACTCGGAGAAATAACCATTTTGCAAGCGCTCACGGAACACATAGTACACAATCAAGGCGTTAAATAATTAGAACAAACGTAAAGAAGATATAAAGGAGAAAGGGGTGTACGGGCATCCGTACAGGCATTGTAAAGTTCGGAGCCCGCCCATAGCCTTAAAGATCACAAGCTTGTCTTGTAATCCGAGAGTATGGGTTGGAACCTGCGTAAAGGCCGGACGACCCTCTCAGTATCCTCAACCCAGGTACGACCGGTGGTGTCTGCGCGGCGGCGAAGCGTCGGTACTGCGTAACGGAGCTGGCTGGCTCCGAACTACCTTCCCGTGGTACCAGTGGAGTGGTTCGGGTTTACCCCGATCCAGCGAAGTGTTCAATAAGTGTTCCAGGACGTGGTTGGTTTTCGCCTGGCAAGTGTTCTCCCCATAAAAACCACAAATGTCTTTTTAACAAGGCTGCGACGTGGCGGATGTGACTCGCTAACGAGGAACTCGAAGTGGTTGATCAATTCACTTATCTTGGCAGCTGCATCAGCAATGATGGGCGCATAGAAACTGACCTCAGCTCACGCATTGCAAAAGCCAGATCTGCCTTCTTGAACCTGCGGCATCTTTGGCGACAGAAGGGTTTCCCTTCGTCTGAAAGGCCGGGTATATAATGCCACAGTGAGGGTCGTTCTGCTCTATGGTAGTGAGACTTGGCCCCTTCCGTCTGAAGAGCTGAGGCGCCTTCAAGTCTTTGAGCATCGTTGTCTGCGACGCATTACTGGTATCGGATGGCACCAGCGTGTCCACAACGATGATGTGCGTAGGCGAGTACTAGGTGATGATAATCATGCTAGCTCCCTAGAACAGCAGATAGCACTGAATAAGTTGCGTTGGCTCGGACACGTGCTACGCATGCCTAGTCACCGCTTACCTAGGAGGGCTTTGTTCAGTCTACCAGGTGTAGAATGGCGCAAGGCTCGAGGGGGGCAGAAGTTGACTTGGCAGCGGGAAATGAAGTCACTGACGACCAAACTGGGTGCCGTTGGTCCGTCTCGCCTTCCGGGCTGGAGTCCACGTGACTCGCCTTGTGCTTGGCTCGAGACTTTACAGGACATGACACGCAGTAGACACCAGTGGCGCGTCTGCTGCCGTCTTCTAATTGGATTGCCTGTTTAGAGTGTGTTTGGTGCTGAGTTATCTGCGGGGTAATAGCTGATTATGACGCGTGGCAGTGAAAGCCGCAAGGAAGCTGTCTCGCCGATGCCGCCTTATCTTTGCAAGATGGCCAGCTGTTTGTGACGGTATGTTGTTAACACAAGGTGTAGACGCCTTGACCCTGAATGTTTGCTTAGGGCATTAAGGTTTTCAGGTAAGTCCCTCTTCTCTCCCTCTTCCTATTCTTTATTTCCTAAGTCCTCATTGTTGTATGGCAGTGAAGCATCAGTTCAAATGGCTGATGTACCGCTGTTGATGAATGATGATGATGGATGTGACTCGCCACTTTGCTTCACCTCGGTGGGGCACTGTACTCCAGCAAGCGTGTTGATATCATGGGGCTGGGGTGATGTCCCCTAAAGCAACTCCCTAGTTCGGCTTGGGCAACCGGGTAGTATCGCCCCCACTGACAAAACCATGCATTATTCATCTGTTATATGGCGCTCAGCTGCCTTTGCTTCCACCATCTGTTAATGTGTTGTCAAAAAACTTTAGCAGTTATCAGTTGATTCTTTTTTCCGTGATTCCACTCCCGATGGTTTCGTCGACGTTCACAGAGCTTGCCCAGCGGTCCACTTTCGGCCTAGGTCCACCTTTCGTCTGGCGGGCTTCGATGTACGTACACTCAAACAGATCGGGCAGCAGGCTGGTCTTGCGCGCACCTTAGAGTCCTTCGTCATCAATGTTTTCTGTCTTTCCGAAACACGCTTGCAGGATCCAAATACTGCGATTTAGTCGAGATCTTCCATTGACCATAGAGCCATAGTTCACCTACGTCTATCTGGTGACAGAAGCAGTTGCGGCAGGCTCCGCGTTGGTGTAACGCTAAGCAGCAAATCCGAGGCCGTACTGCTCGACTGCTTTCCGATTAATAGCCTACTGCGTGCAGTTCGGCTTCGCAGGATGAACAAGTGTCGTGAGGAGAGACGCAAATTGTTTTGATCTCAGCTTAAGATCCAACGAACTGTAGTTGCGACTCGGTGAAGGACGAGTTCTAGCGTGAACTTCACCAGCTCCTGAGCAGAGCTTGCAAATCCGATATTGTTGTTCTTTCTGGGAACCACAACGCACGGGTTGGTCGTATATTATCATGTGAAAGTCATCTCGGTGGTCACCATGCACTTGATGACAGTCGCTCAGATAATGGAGAGATAATTCTCACTGTGCGAAGACAACCATACGTTTCTTTTGAGCACCAGCTTCTAACATTCGAGGAGACGTTTCGCTACTTGGGGACCCACATCCACGTCTTAATCATGCTCTCAGTTTGATCATATCTCAATCAGTTTCATATGGCGAGGTAGTGTATGGGATTGAAAATCAATCTGATCCACATTTACTGATTCAGACCACGCTCTTGTCTATACGAACATCTGTATGAGTTTAGGATGATTCTCGAAAACGAAGCATTGTAAGGTAGATACGAATAAGCTATCTGCTCTCTCGGTTCAGCAGAGCTATCAATCTTCCCTGGCCGATGCACTCAGCTGCTTCCCACTGCAAGACACTGGTGAACACCGGACGTTCATGCAGAAGACCATAGTCTCTTCCCGGAAGTTAGTCTGCGGTCTTACTCAACACCCTATGAAGGCAAGGATCTCCACGCGCTTCCTGGATCTATCTGACCGCCGCAGAAATATCCCAGCGGAGTCTAATCATAATGAAGTGAGCCGTTCTGTAAGTCAGTAGCTCAAAGCCTACGCAGTGCTCGTGAAGCCTGGTAGTCTCAGCGTGCTTCGGAGATGGAGGCCGATGCCCTCTCAGACAAAATTCGCACTCTTCCAGCTCATTTGGTCTACTGACCACAGAAAGCATGGCGTCAGTGAGACAATTCGCGAGGCGGAAGGTTCGCCAATTACCAACCTACAAAGACGATTGGATAGATGGGCCGAACATTTTCATTCGCAGCTCAGTTGACCGTCACCGTACACTTGTACTCCCTACGAACCACGCTGCCCGCCCTGAGTTGTCACACTTGATCCACCCAGCGAAGCGGAAGTTTGTCTTGCGAAACCAGACGAAAGGATTCAAGCCTGCCGGCTGAGACTGAGTTCCTCCGGAACGGTTCAATTATCAAGGCGCAGTTAGAATCAGCCAGCTAATCTCATTGTTCGTCAAAAGCTGGCGAACCAGTTATTGTCCAGATTTTTACGGAGGGTGCTAGCACTTCATGCGCCAAGCACCGGGGGATTAATCTCATTTCCCTTGCCTCCAAGCTGTTGGCATCCATTCTACTCCGTAGACAATCCCCGATGGGTGAAGCGTAGTACAGGCAAGAATAATCTGGCTTCCGTCCTGGCCGTGGGTGCATGGATCAGATATCCAGGCTTCGCTAAATTCTCGAACACTGCCACATCTACCAGAGGCCTACCATCGATGCTTTCGTAAACATCCGTGCTGCATTCGACTCGGTTGATCGATCTGCGCTATGGCGTCGATTGCTAAAGAACCGGGTCCCAGAAAAATACATTGCCGTCCTACGCGCACTCCACCTTTACATCTCTGGCAGAGTGAGAATCTAGGGCAAGCATTCGTCGTCCTTCGCTGTCAAAAGCGGTGTACGACAGGGCTGCCCTATGTTCCCTTTCCACTTCAACTTTGCGATTGAAGAAGCCTTATCGAGAGCTTTGGAAGGTTGTATGTATGGGTGTAATCTCAGCAGTCTAGCAACTAAACACAGCCAATAGAAAAACATGGAGATCAGCGGATAAGAGACAGTCATTGCGCCATAGTCATCGTGTCATAGTAGTTGTAGGTGAGCAACGCACTTCAGCTAATATGCCGCAGGAGGAAAGGAACATTTTGATAAAAAGTAGAACGAAACATTTTTAGTTTGTTTTTCACACGCCGATTTTTCTCTTCTTTTGTCATTTTCAATGTTTGAAGTATTAAACATGTGAATCAATACAATACTGTACACAATTCTTCCCCTGATTCCGGTTGCGGGTCATGTCTTCAAGAGTGTTAAGCCATTGGCACTCCTCATCTTTGGGTCACTATCCTGGAAGACGTACGTATCCAACAGCGGCCAGACACGACGTCAGCGATTTCATGTGCTACCGCCATGTAGAAGGCTGGCCACCACGCGGTCGCCTCCAGCCAGGTTCTTGACGAGCGAACAGAGCGCGACGCGGTAGACGCTTAAGTGCCATGCGTAGGAGGTGATGGTGCCATTTCAAATGGCACAATAAAACAAGACGTTTCGCCACCATTCGAGGTGGCATCTTCAGTACGGGATTGATAGCAGGTAAGTAGCAGTAGCTGGTAGAAAGCAAACCCAATAATGGAACCCAATAATGGGTCCATTATTGGGTTTGCTTTCTACCAGCTACTGCTACTTACCTGCTATCAATCCCGCACTGAAGATGCCACCTCGAATGGTGGCGAAACGTCTGCAACCAAGTTGCCCAGCTCGGAGAACTCCACAACAACTGAGCAAGCCTCCCGAGCTACCAATATTCCAAATCATTTCGAACAATAAAACCAG